GGAGGCCCCATCCCTGGGAACATTCCAGGCCAGGTTGGACGGGGCTGTGAGCAACCTGATGTGGTTCAAGGTGTCCCTGCTCCTGCAGGGGGGTTGGGCTGGGTGACCTCTGGGGGTCCCTTCCCACCCAAACCATTCTATGCTTCTATGATTCTATGATTCTTGCTCTCCACCCCTGCTCCCGTTTAAGGCGCTGCTATTGAATTTGGCCACACGTGCTGGGGTGCAGCCTGCTCCACGCACCCAGCGGAGCCCGTGAGCCGCACCGCGTGCCAAACCACCACCTCCTTCCCCCGCTTCAGCTCCACCTCCCTCTCCTCTTGACCGCACCACTGAGGTTTCCAATGTATTCGCCATGCGCTGCCTGTTGTGCTGCTGTTTTAACTCAGACCCCGCAGCACATCTTGTACCATTCGGCTCCAAGGAGCACTGCGCGCCCATAAAGGACGCTACAAAATCAAGTCGTATTGCATTACACCGAGTCCCGAAGGCTGGCACTGGTAATGTTTACATCTCTAGCTGGGAATCACCTGAACCCGGCGGTTCACGTACTTGACAGTTACAACTGTCCTTTGCAGCTCTAGATTATGTTAAAACACATTTGCTGGAGCACTTACACTGCCGGGCTCGTTGTCTCATCACTGTTCAGAAGAAGCCACAGTTTGCCATTTCCCGACCTTACCACAAGCAGCGGAGCCAACCGGCCTCACCGAACAAAGCCGAGCCGAGTCTGTATTTTGAAAGTGTCCTGACCTGGAAAATCCCCAATATGGAGCTCCACTCGACCTAGATTTTAGTGGCCGCTAATTGAACAGTTTTGAAGTAACTGTGCCATAAAGCAGCCCCAGGGTTAGAACAGATGCATTCAATTAATTACAGCTGGGGAGATTCAGTCAAAATCGCAAAAAGAAGATAAGTCTTAAAGGTCCCGTCACACTGAGCGCGGGGGTCCCCTCCCAGGCGTCACCTCGCTGCGTCGCAGGCACGCGGCCGTGGCATCGCCAGCAAAGCCAGCCCAGGGCTGCGGTCGGCCGGGGGAGCTGCTCAGCCTGCAAGGGTGGCTGCAATGTCAGCCCAGATTTCTGCTCAGAGACAGCAAGGATTTGGAAGAAATATTCCCCATTTTCAAGAAATAAACCTTAGTAGAGCGGCTTTTCACTCGGAGGTCTGGGGAGGATCAAAAGAACCCGCAAAGGGCAGCTGAGGAAAAACAAGGCCATTACCAGGAATTTTACATTTACTGTTCAGGGGCGTGCAGCTCTGCTGGAAGTTTTTTAGGTTGTTTGCAAAACTGAAGTGGTTTGAAAGTCACTGAGAGCTGGAGTGGGGCGTGGGAGGCAGAGCCGGTGGCTTTGCTGATCTCCCAAATTATTCTGAGCAGGTCACCTCTCCTCTCTGCAGCAGTCTTGCCTTGTGTGAAACAAATAAGCAATCCGCCTCTAATAAAGCATCTTCCCACCGCTCAGCGAAAGGATTAATGCAAGTGCGAAGCGTTGTGTTATTCACAGGAAGGATTCAAATCGAGAGCTGAAGTGGGTGGCGGCAGGAGCTCAGTTGCCCTCGCATGGCGTAAGGGATGTGGATGCACCACGGCATTTCTGTTGTTGCTGCTTCTCACTTGAAACCAAGGCAGGGATCCCGGGGACCCCCGATGCTGGGATCCAAGGGATTTCTGATGCTGGGATCCAAGGGATCCCAGAGACCCCCGATGCTGGGGACCCAGGGATTTCCGTTTTCACGAGTTGAAGTGGGTGGCGGCAGGAGCTCAGTTGCCCTCGCATGGCGTAAGGGATGTGGATGCACCACGGCATTTCTGTTGTTGCTGCTTCTCACTTGAAACCAAGGCAGGGATCCCGGGGACCCCCGATGCTGGGATCCAAGGGATTTCTGATGCTGGGATCCAAGGGATCCCAGGGACCCACGATGCTGGGATTCCAGGGATCTCCGATGCTGGGATCCTAGGGATCCCTGGGACCCACGATGCTGGGATCCCAGGGATCATAGTATCGTCAAGGTTGGAAAAACCCTTTAAGATCATCAAGCCCAACCGTTCCCCTAACCGTGCCATCCCACCACTAAGCCATGGCCCTAAGCACCTCATCTACCCTTCTTTTAAATCCCTCCAGGGATGGGGACTCGACCCCTTCCCTGGGCAGCCCCTTCCAGAGCCTGACATCCCTTTCGGGGAAGAAATTTTCAGGATCCAGGAGCCCCACCACAGTGCCAGCCCACTTCCCTCCCCAGCCTGCGGCAGACACTGCTGTAACGATGCAGGATAAATGTTCTCAGCCTCATGTCTTGCTGGTTGCATGGGTCAGCGTTTCTGACACAAAAGAGTATTTGGCCTCAAGAAGTCTGTGCATGGGATAGGGAGACCAAAAACCAGCGGGATTGGGATGGGGTTTTCCTCCCAGAGCCAGAGGCTGCCGCCAGCCTAAGCCCGTGCTGCACAATAACCACCCGGCATCTGTTAGGGTGCGGAGAGAGCACCCGGCTTGCCGAATAAATGGCATAACCCCTGCCCCCTCCCAAAATGTCATCCCCCTCCGTTTTCTTTGTCTTTTTTCATCCTGCTCTAAACTAGCTGGATCCCAGCTGATGAGCCCAGCGGGGAACCAGCACATAAGCATTGTCATCCCGGCATGATCCCTCCTTGTCCCTGCCTTAGCTGATAGCACATTCAGAACCTAATTGTTATCTCAGCAGAGCAACTCCATTATTCAGCCTGACACTGCACCCCCTTCAGCTGTTTGTTGCACTGATGTTATATTAATGAGGCCTGCAAATAAATGAATAGGAGATCAGAGTGCCGCTTGTTCGCAAGAAAACTGATTTTTATTTATTTATTGCTAAGACCACAGACAGTGTGGAAGTTTTTACGCTGTTAAAGGGACACCGCTGGTGACGGCTGGGCCTCTCGCTCAGAAAAAGGGCTGCGTATTTCCTACTGCTCATTTACATTTATGACTATTAAAACACAACTTCTTACTACTTACACATTCCCCAAAGGCACTGGTGCCTGGGAGCAAGGCCCTTGGCCTCCAGCTCGACAGAAAGAGTAGAATGGGTCAGATGAAGCAAAAGGAGTGGAAAACAGCCCGTATTAAATGCTCTTTTGGTCTGAGTGATCCAGGCTGCAATGCAAGCCCCAGGGCAAGGCCAAACGCTGCTCCCCAGTTGAGTCTGCTGGTGCCTACGGGAGGGAGAGCGTCCCACCAGTGCCTGCCCTAAACCTGGTCAGCCCCAGCAGGGCAGGGTGGTCTCTTCCCAGCTTTCAGTGCACAGCTCTGCAGCACTGGACATTGCAAAATCCTACCCAAAATACAAAAAAAACCCCTCGAATACCAGTAAAAAGGACCCAACAGCAAGGAAGGCTGTAAAGGTCTCATGGTCTCCAAGCCAATCTCATACACTTTTCTGGAGGGGAAGGGAGATGAGAGAAGTTAACCTGTTGAAAGGTTTGGGTTTAGGAACATCAACCCTGCAGGGTTTCTACTGGGGCTTTGCCATTTTCTATAGACCTGACCACTCAAGAACTTAGCAAAAATCTGTAAGAGTTTTTAGCCCTATAGAGCACCCTTCCCATCAGTGGATCTCAAAGCACGCGAAGAAGGCCACTGGTTCCCTCCGCTTTCCCCCTTCTTTTTCTACAACAGTAAAAACTGCAAACTTGACTTTCATGGAAAAAAAAAAAAAAAAGCTGTGAATTCATAAGGAGAAGGGTGGGAGGTGGAGTTCAAGGAAAAACACCAAATGCTGCAAGACCCGCGATAAAATCACGACAGCTCACAGCACTGCCGGAGCCAGCTGAGCCACAGGACGATACATCCCCCTGAAACCTCTATTTTCCATCACTGACCCCCACTGTGGGATAAGCCAGTCTGCCAACGAAAGCACAGACATTTCCTACTCAATTCTCTCATCTCCAAATCCACTCGGGGCAATCTCCCGAGACTCAAAACATCCCCTGGCGAGGCACCCCACGCTTCCCGCTTTGAAGGCTGAGACACGGACCTGGTTATGGAGACAAGGAATCTGTAGCAGCAAAGCTCTGCTCTTTTCTCCTTGGACAGCAACCAAAAGCATTGCTTTCAAGTTGGACAGCGATAAAACGCTCGGTGGCAGCGCCATGCCCGCAGCCAGCGCGAGAGCCAGCCGGGCAGGGCTGCCACGCAAGCCGCTCGGTGGCTGGAGCAGATTGGTTTTCCCCTTCTCTGCTTAGCTCAAGGAGGGGTAAATAAATAAATCTAAGACTCCTTTAACGTTACAACTGTTGGAACCGTTTATGGTGAAGAAAATCTCAGGCAGAGGCTGTTTTGCTTCTTGCATCTTGTAGCATAACCTTGTGCAAGCAGAACAGCACTCGGGGAAGAAAACTTTGGTTTCTGATTACTGGCAGGACAAGGTGAATATCTAAGCCAGCCTTTCAGGCTCATTTTATCCCTCTGTAAAGACAGCTACAGCTTGCCAAACAACCAAAGCCACCAAATAGGGAAAGGAGAGGCTCTCAGCATTTCTTAATGCTCTCATGGCACCAACCCCCACCCCAGCTCTTCCGCAGCCTCGCAAGCTCCTCTCTGCCGTTTGTACCAAACACCGCACAAGGGCAATACCTGCCCATCAAAGGTCCGACGTGGCTGGGCAGAAGGTCTAAGACACACATACCCAAGGCCTGGTAACGTGGCTGCGGGATGGATGGACCCTCCTGAGCCACATCCATCCCCAGTTAGCCCCAGCCCTGGCTCAGCACCACCAGCCTCTGCCGTTCACAGAATCATAGAATCGTTTGGGTTGGCAAAGCCCTTTAAGCTCCCCCAGCCCAACCGCTCCCCTACCCCTGCCATCCCACCCCCAAACCCTGGCCCTCAGCACCGCCTCTGCCCGGCTGTTAAATCCCCCCAGGGATGGGGACTCGACCCCTTCCCTGGGCAGCCCAGTTCCCTCCCCTCCTCCAGAAAAAGGAGGCTGATGCCGTCCTCCCCGGGGGGCTGAGCATGAGCCAGATGAGCTAAGCTGGTGTAGAAACTAATCTGGGTTAAGAGGAAACTGCCACATGTTCTGGGTCCTTATTCAGCTGCCAGAAGTTCGTCTGCTGAGAAGCCCCGCTCCTGCCCTGCGTTTCTGAGCACCAGTGCAACAGGCTGATCCAACACGCTTACACCCCTGCCCTCCGCCTTCTGCGGGATGGACACACGCTCCGGGCAAGGGAGGCTTTTGGGGGGAGTTAATTAAGTGAGAAACCCAAACCTCCTTTCATTCCCACCTGATGAGAGTGTCACTCCTAATAGGAACGTTAACAGACCAAGTGCCGTTTTACCAGTAAAAATGCTCCTGGGAGACATTTTGCACCCCTCAGTGGTCTGAACAGAAACATCAGAAGCATCAATTATAGACTAATTATCTCCCTAGTTT